GGCCCTGGGCCAGCGGGGCAAGGGGAGCTGGGGCCAGGACCAGGGGGGGAGGTTGGGTCCAGGGTCAGGACCGGACCAGGGACCCAGCGGGGCGAGGGGGGCTCCACGGGGCCAGGACCAGGTGGGGAGGTTGGGTCCAGGGCCAGAGTCGGACCAGGGACGACGAACGAAAACAAAGGGTCCAGCAAGGGGGGGGTTGGGTCCAGGGCCAGGACCGGACCAGCTGCCAGGGACGACGACGAGCGAAAATAAAGGGTTGCCAGGGCGAGGTGGGCTGGGGCCAGGGCCGGGGGGGAGGCTGGGTCCAGGGCCAGGGTCAGCGGGGCGACGGGGGCTGGGGCCAGGGCCAGGTGGGGAGGTTGGGTCCAGGGCCGGGACCAGAGGGACAACGACAAACGAAAATAAAGGGTCCAGGTCGAGGGGGACTGGGGACAGGGCCGGCGGGGGGGAGGTTGGGTCCAGGCCCTGGGCCAGCGGGGCGAGGGGAGCTGGGGCCAGGACCAGGGGGGAGGTTGGGTCCAGGGCCAGGACCGGACCAGGGACGACGACGAGCGAAAATAAAGGGTCCAAGGCGAAGGGGACTGGGGCCAGGGCCGGGTGGGGGGGAGGCTGGGTCCAGGGCCAGGGCCAGCGGGGCGAGGGGGGCTGAGGCCAGGACGGGGGGGGGAGGTTGGGTCCAGGGTCGGGGCCGGACCACGGGCCGGGGACGACGACGAACGAACGAAAAACAAGTGGCACGCGTTGCCCTGGCTCTTGAACAAAGGTGTCCGGGGCTCAGGTGGGAGCTGCCCTGGGAAAGCCTGGGCGGGGGTGGGGGCAAAGGGAGGGGGGGGTGGGGGGGGGCGGGCTTGGGGACGAACGACACGACTCGACACGACTCGAAAAATAAGGGTGCCCAGGGGGGCTACCCTGGGAAGCGTGGACAAGGGGGGGGCGAGGGGGACGAACGACACGAAAAACGACGAAAATAAAGGGTTCCGTGGCCCAAGGGGGCTACCCTGGGAAGCGCGGACAGGGCGGGGGGGGGCGAGGAGGACGAACGACACGACGAACGACGAAAATAAAGGGTTCCGTGGCCCAGGGGGGCTACCCTGGGATGCGTGGACAGGGGGGGGGGGCGAGGGGGGCGAACGACACGCCGAACGACGAAAATAATAGGTTTCGTTGGCCAGGCGGGCTACCCGGGAAGCTTGGTCAGGGGGGGTGCGAGGGGTACCCTGGGAAGCGCGGACAGGGGGGGGGCGAGGGGTGCGGGGGGGGGGCGAGGGGGGCGAACGATGCGACGAACGACGAAAATAAAGGGTTCCGTGGCCCAAGGGGGCTACCCTGGGAAGCGTGGACAGGGGGGGGCAGGGGGCCGAGGGGTACCATGGGAAGCGTGGACTGAGGGGGGGGGGGGGGGCGAAGGGGGCGGAGAGGAGGGGCGGGGGGATCGAACGACACGCTCGAACGACGAAAACAAGTGGCACGCGTGCCCTGGCTCTTGCACAAAGGTGTCCGAGGCTCAGGGGGGCTGCCCTGGGAAGCCTGGGCGGGGGGGGGGCAGAGGGGGGAGGGGCAGGGGGACGAACGACACGACACGACACGACACGAAAACAAGTGGCACGCGTGCCCTGGCTCTTGCACAAGGGCGCATGGGTCAGGGGGGCTGCCCTGGAAGCCTGGTCGGGGGGGGGGGCGGGGGGGACAGGGGGGTGGCAGGGGGAAGTAACGAAACGACACGACACGAAAATTAAAGGTGTCCGAGGCTCCTGGGGGGCTTTGCCCATGGTGCCCTGGGAGCCTTTGAGGGCGGGGATGGCGGCGGAGGGGGGGGGCAGGGCGGACGAACGAACACGATTCGACACGAGAATAATGGTCTTTGTCCGAGGCCCAGGGGGGCTGCCCTGGGAAGCCTGGGCGGGGCGGGGCAGGGGGGGGGGGGCAGGGGGACGAACGACACGACACGACACGAAAACAAGTGGCACGCGTGCCCTGGCTCTTGCACAAAGGAGTTGCGAAGGACAGGAGGCCCCCGCCTCCTTCTTCCAGGAGGGGTTTACGAGGAGCCAGGAAGAAAGCGGAGGAGGAGGAGGAGGACGACGACGACGATTTCTGGGCCTGGTCTGGTTTCCACGAACCACGAACGACCACGACGAAAATACAGGGTTCCGTGGCCCAGGGGGGCTGCCCTGGGAAGCCTGGGCGGAGGGGTGCTCCCATGAGTTTCCACGGGGGGTGTCCCAGGAACGAAGGACGACGACGAAAATAAAGGGTTCCGTGGCCCAGGGGGGCTGCCCTGGGAACCCTGGACGGAGGAGGGCTCCCAAGGGCTCCCACGGGGGTGTGGCCCAGGGGAGCACGGAGGGGAGGGTTCCGTGGCCCAGGGGGGCTGCCCTGGGAAGCCTGGACGGAGCCGGGCTCCCAAGGGCTCCCGAGGGGGGGGGGGGCCGGGGGAGCTGGGTCTCAGGGCTCCCACGGGGGGGTGGCCCAGAAGAGCTGGGTCTGGGGGGAAGGCAGGGGGGGGGCAGGGGGACGAACGACACGACACGAAAATAAAGATGTCCGGGGCCCAGGGGGGCTGCCCTGGGAAGCCTGGACGGGGGAGCTGGGTCTGGGGGGGGGGGCAGGGGGGGGGTGGGGACGAACGACACGACACGACACGACACGAACATAAAGGTGTCCGAGGCCCAGGGGGGGCTGCCCTGGGAAGGGGGGGGGGCAGGGGACGAACGACACGACACGACACGAAAATAAATGTGTCCGAGGCCCAGGGGGGCTGCCCTGGGAAGCCTGGACGGGGGACGGCAGGGGGGGGGCAGGGGGGCGAACGACACGACACGACACGAAAATAAAGATGTCCGAGCTCTAGAGCACAGCTGTGAAGAGAATAAAGGGTTCCGTGGCCTGGCGGGGCTTACCTGGAAGGGTGACAGGGGGGGGGCGAGGGGTACCCTGGGAAGCGTGGACAGGGGGGGGGGGCGAGGGGGGCGGGAGGGGGGCGAGGGGGACGAACGACACGACGAACGACGAAAATAAAGGGTTCCGTGGCCCAGGGGGGCTACCCTGGGAAGCGTGGACAGGGGGGGGGGGCGAGGGGTACCCTGGGAAGCGTGGACAGGGGGGGGGCGAGGGGGACGGGGGGGGGCGAGGGGGACGAACGACACGACGAACGACGAAAATAAAGGGTTCCGTGGCCCAGGGGGGCTACCCTGGGAAGCGTGGACAGGGGGGGGGCGAGGGGGACGAACGACACGACGAACGACGAAAATAAAGGGTTCCGAGCTCTAGAGCACAGCTGTGCAAGAGAATAAAGTGACGACAGTGTCACATTTGAGGCCCCAAATCGTCTTTGGGCACCTCGGGCGCGAATCCCGCTCCCGCATAGTGCGGCACGATTTCCCCTCCCCCCGCTGTCCCGCCGGACCCCGGGAGGGTGATTTTTGTGGTTTTCGCTTGTGAGAAACACTTCCCCCCCCCTCTCGACGGTGACGGAGGGCAGGCGGCGGGGGTGGGCGGGTTGGCGGGGTCGCGGGTTGGCTGGGGTTGCGGGGTGGCTGGTTGGGCTGGTTGAGCCGGTTGAGTTGTTTGGGTGGCTGGTTGGTTGGGTTGGCTGGTTGGGCTGGCTAGGGCACTTGGTTTCGACTACTACTACTACTA